CTTGAAAACCTCTGGTGACACCGTCGGAGTTCGAGCTTCGCTTTAGGATCCCCTTAACAGATGATTGTACGATTAATCGATTATCAATGTTGTTCATCGTGCCTGTATAAAATGGCATTTCAATCATATCTTTTATTTTTTTGCTTGATGTAATTCGTCACTATTTCAGCAAAATATTCACTTTCAAATCTTAATCAAACGAACATAAGAAATCACTTATTTACAGAAGGAATCAATTTGAATCCTCAAGATTTATTGATCTAAAGAAAGAGAAATTTTGGAATGTATATATCAGAGAATTCAGATTGCAAAATCATTTCTATAGGATTCTAGAGGATTCTAAAATCTTTAAAAGTAATTTCAAAATGTAAACATAACGTATAAAGAGACAATTGAGAAAAATAGATATGTAATAAATAAAATATAAATATATAATAAAAGATAGAACAAATTAATATAGATAACCGATTTATTTTAATTCCAATTTAATTTTAATTGTAATATATGTATACTAATATGAAAAATTAACATAATTCGAAACTACCACCGTAAGACGGACGCATCTCTCCTTGTATTGTTGCAAATTATACGCCACCATATCAAGATTGAGAATTTTATGTTCAATTTCCCGGCTTCTTGCTGCAGCCTTGCGTTTAAAAATTGATTAGCCCGCCCTGAGAGAAGGCAGGGGCTTCGGTCGCGGGGTCTCGGATTCGGTACCATATTTTACGAAAAACCGTCTGGTGCTCTCGCACCGCCCACCGATCCTCAGAAATATATTAAGGAACGCGGAGCGCGTTAAGTGAGGCAGGACTCTCGTCACGCCTCTTCCAATTTGCACGTGATCGCAGCTGGGCCGCTGGATGCCACTTTCACGAAAACTCCCGGTTTGGGCATGGCATGGCATCTATCTCTCATGCAAGATCGTTTTGCGATTAATTAAGCTCATAATTCAGAACACCGCCGCTCGTAACTCGCGCAATTAATGCGACCGTGTTTTTCGGCTGGTCCCTGAAAAATCCGCGAAACTCAACTGAACACGACTGTTCCGTCGTATCGTTAATGACTCTCTCGATCGGCACCGAAAACCCTAACGGCATTTAAGTGTCGCGATTACCGCCTCATTACGATCGGATAAACAATTTAATTGCGTTTCGCTTTTCGCGAGGCAGGTGCTTCACGACAGGTACGCGAATGGTTTCGTGATCGTTAAAGCGATGAGAGGAACAAATAAAAAATGAGAGCGCTCGAGAAAGGGAGAAAAAGCAGAAAAAAAGAGAAAGAGATGCAGTTTATAGTAATACTCCGCAACTTATTTTAGGAGAACGTGCATGATACCAAGTAACTTAAATACATACAGAATAATTTCGAACCAAAATTTGATTGTACGTATATACAAACCTCAAGCAATCATCACTTAACTAACAATAATCAACGGATTTCCGTATTTCATTTGGAATAAATAATTTTGAATTAAGTTCATGAATATTTTTATACAATTATTTTTTATACAATATTATTGATACCTTCTTTAAGCAATTCAAAGCAAACAGTCAGGAGGCTCAATATATTATTCGGATGATTAATATTGCAATGATATGGACGGTTCAGGATCAAGTATTACCATCTTTATATTCAATTATTAATTCTCTTCTGCATATATTAATTCTAAGACTTGTTTATTAAATATTGACAGCATAATTCAGAATTATATATTCCAAACGAAAAACTGAACCTAAATTCTTACGATTTTCTGTCAAGATTTCAGACTACAGATTTCGAAATCTGAATTTCTATCTCTTAATTCTTACTTTGTCGCAAACAACGTACTTCCGTCACAGTTAATTCACGCATAATTAAATAGACGCGACATAAAGCGAATATTAACCCAACACAGAAAATCTCTCTAATAGTCTAATGTCCTTTCTATCAATGTAAATTAAAATCTCGGTTTAATTTACTCTTTATCTTTTTCTAATTCTTAGAACTCGCCAGATAAGAATATATAAAGATAAAAAAAGCAAGTTAAACCGAGATTGAAGTTAATCTACATTGGTAGAAACGTACATAAGAATTACACAACGTTTATTCAAGATTAAATAGCAGGGGTACAAGAACGAAGTAACGGAAAACGATCCTGAAACACGGAGCGAAGGACGAGAAGCTCGCATTAGGGAGGGAAGAGACGACTTTATTGGGTGTCCGTTATCGATTCGCGGACACACCGTATACATATACGAGTCGATTTGCATAAAAACCCTGCATCGCGATCCCCGAGAGATCGCCGCAAGTCGACGCCGTTAACAATTTAGTGGGCGTTGCTCGCGTCGATGCTCGCTCGGCTACCGGCGTGTCGTTCTTACTTATTAAATGAGCGGCATCCGAACGGCCCGATAACCGCCTCGCCGCGA